TTCTATAAAAGATATGGAAGGTGCTATGTAAAGCTCTGATGTGCTAACTAATTACACAACTTGTAGACGAACGCATGCTTCTTTGTTGGCTGCTCGAGAAACCAGTCGTCTAAGCATATGTGCAGTAATAATGTTGCTGAGCCCTTCTTACACAATGAACGAAGTCGATACACACTGGACCCTTGCCCTTGGCTGCTGTACCCATCCACTTGTGACATTACTGAGGGCTTCTGTCAATTTGTAAGCATTTATGTCATCCCTGGTCGCGAGACGTGTTCTTTGAACGAGAAAGACTTTGATGTCTGTCAACTCGACATGTCGAAGTCCATGTTGCAGATTACTCCAGTGCCGTTGTAGTCATAAGGGTCGACACCGCTGCAAGGATTAACATCAACATACTACCGACTCTGAAGAACATGCGCGCAGGCACTCAATCAAATTGTCTAGCCCATCAAGACACCACGCACACAACTGCTCACGCCACTCGATAAAAAGCCCAATGGATCACATTATGCCAACCTCAAGCATGACAGTAGCCACGGAAGCTGCTAGCAATCCAGGCGGATGATGAATTTTGCTTCAGGGTAATGCATCATCAACATGCTATTCACTTGTTCCACTGAGTAAGCCACTGCAAAGAGGGCGCTTTAGGGACTTTTTCCGAGAGGTGATTCCACGAGAGATCGACACGGGTCCAAAAGTTGAAATTTTAGATTTCATTGAGTATTTTATATTTCGTGTACCTCTCACCAGGTAGCCCGAAAGTCAACTTCGTTTTATTATTAACGGCATAATTTACGAGAAAAAAAAATATCAAACTTCACCAACACGAAGGCACCAACTTCGTCACCTGTCATTTTCGAAAATTGCAGATGCTATAAGAAGACAAATATTTTTGTTTCAAGGAATATATTTTTTTACCTGAAATGCATGTCTAATGAAGAATGAATTCATACGGTTTCAAGTTTGTAGACCTTAAAAAAATAGCTTTTAAAAATATCTAACTTAGTGACAGTATAAAATAAATTACGTATTCCCGATTTTTTTTTCTCCAAAAGTAATTCAAGCAGCGTTTTCAAACTTGGCACGTTTTAAGGATATAGTGTGTTCATTAGGTACATAAAATATTGTTGTCGTAGGGCAAATGTAGTTTTTTATATATTGCCTCAAAGTTCTCATATTGGCAAAAGTGTACTCCAGTGAAATGTGAATAATAAAAAACCCCATCTTCGATTTTCTTAAAATCTCGTAAATAGACAACCGAAGGCCATCATACAGTAATATAGAAAAACATGTTGCATTATTTTGTTTTTAGTGACAATATTCGTGGTACAAATTGGAGCTTTTCGAGAATGGGCTGATAAGTTGAGAAATCTAGAAATCGGAACGGAAAAGCGGCAATAAGCTTCAAACACGAAGTAAACGTGACCGCATTTGGTGAAGAAAGGCTGTTTTAGCACTGTGACAAATACGTACCCATGAAGGCGCATTTATGCTCCTGATAACACAGCTCTAATGAAGGAAATCTTCGACACTGTAAGTTGCAAAACATCTGTCTATATTGGCAGATAAACTCAAACATGAAAATGTTTCAACGGAAGTGTTGGGTCTCGCTAGAAAAAGCATATGCGCTTGAAGTACCCTCACTGGTATTTTGGTGGTGACTGCGTGAAACAAAAGATGCGCTCAAAATGGCTGCATCTTTTGCAGATCACATTTAGCAGTACGTGACGCTAACAAACACAACCACGATCAGTGCCCTCAGATGTGCTTAGCCAAACATGCCAGGAACGTATGCCTGGAACACGTGTCAACAATTTCCACTGGCTCTTCTGAAACCGACGGAATGTTTCTAGCTCGTCTGCGTTTGCACACAGCAGCTTGACATTCTTGAGCTTCGCGCTCATTTGCGCCACCATTTGGGATGCTGACATAATCACAGCTGAGCTTGCCGCTCTGAGGTTGTAGAGCGTAGCCTGATGCTTTAGTAGGCCACCAACGCCGTCACAAGAGTTCTTGCCATGTCCTGTGGCCGAAAAAATCCACTTTGTTGATATATGATCTTTCTGACATAACTCGAACAACTGGTACTTGTTTTTGAAGTGACTGCATGCATTATTAGAAACATAAGTAACATGCTTGTCAGGCTTAAGTTGTTCCTTCATATAGTTGTGGATTATTTGTAGAGAGAAACAGGCATGTGCAGCACCATGGCATGCGTCATCACTGATGACGGCAAAACTTTGAATTGATTGCTTCCTTGTGACGACACACGTGAATATAGAAACCCGTCTTTTGTGCCAGTGATACGACTGTACCTCATTCGCTAAAATGGCTGTCCAATTTTTGGCGAAATCAAAGAGAAAAATGCAAGATTCTTTTTCTTGGTTCTCTTTCACCTGGCGTATTGCCGATTCTTGAATGTATCTTATGTAATCATGGGTAATCCACTTCACGAACCATAGACTTGGCTCTCGCAGAAAAGCCCTTGCCTGGGCTGTTTTTTTACTAGATCGCCATTTTCCCATACTGCACAGGCTACCTCAATATCTTTAAGGATTCCTAAACATGTGGCTGTCAGAGCGTCCTCCTTAGCACAATAGCCTAAAAAACAATCACTTGCAGGGGAGCTGCAAAGACATAGTTCTTTCAAGAAGTCTGCCGTGTAGGCACCATCGGTGACGTCTTGTAGGGCAGAAACACACTTTGTGGCATTAGCACAGTATATACAAAGGCACACTTCTTGGTGTGGTGCAAGAAGTAACCACTTCGGCCTCAGTGAATAAAACTTTGAGAGCCCAATAAACGTGTTCGGATTAGCTTCTCTAAAGAGAAGGTAAGCCTCTCGCTCCGAACGGGTCATAAACCTTTTCGAAACAAGCTCCTTTTTTCCATCAATAATAACAGATACTACATCTTTTTTGTTGGGACTCTGCCGAGAGCAGCTATACTCATCTTTGGAGTAGTAAGCCATAGCTGCCTGGACGTCATTAGGTTTAGCTGTGTCCTTTTTACCGCATTTGGTGCTAACCATATCCCGTGTTTTGCGCGCCAGCGTCTGGATCTGTATATCATGTAAGCTGACAAGTTTGGTATAAGCACTTGGAGTTTTCAGCGCTCTATATCGCTCGGCAACAGTGTCAACAAACGCATGCACTCTTGATACGAAGAACACGCGCTCGATAGGCTTGCTTGAAGTTCTTGAATCACTGGGCACACACAGTGCATTTTAGATCTCATGGTTAAAAGTGGCGGTTACACACGTTACGGTGGCATTTCACGGTTACAGTAGAATTGCTGCAAAGTTGTCTTGGCTCTGCATGAACTTTGCTATTTTGCACATGCAGCTTCTCCAGTCGCAATGTGACAATGCTTCAGGTGTGTTTAGCACCGCTCTTGACTTCTGCCTTTTTCTTCTTCCGGCAAAATCTCATCAGCTGTTTCAGCTGAGAAGCCATTAGCCTTGAGGCTCAAATGACTGGCAATGCAACTCTGCGTGAAACCAGCAGCACAAAAGTGATCTATCTGTCGACTGTTCCTATATCTCTCACCTTTAATGAGAGCAGACGTAAAACAGCGTGCGCAAGTATCCACAGTGCGAATGCAAAACTGAATTATAGTACGTCAAAATAAATTTCACAATGTTTTTGTCGATAAAATTACGGGAGGTGTAATCTTTGTCGCTACTTTGAACCATATGATCTTAAGCATTGCCTCCGAGATGCGGCGCACAGCAATTCATCAGTAGAGCAGACGACAGATGACAACTTGGCCTGAAGTCTAATGCGGCAGTCTTCGTACCCCAAATGATAATTTGTTATGAATTGTTTATGAACTCATTCAACATTCAATTCTCTTACCCAACGTGTTGCAAACACATGGCCGTCACAGCAGCTCCATCTGTGTGTCAGTAATGGAGAGGCACCACATATATAGCACGTCTACAGTGGCTCTACGTATAAGTAAAAAGTCGAATTCAGAACACTGTAGAAGTATAGTGTTCAATATGTTAGTCTCCTAATCATGCTAGACACTGCCTTTCTTCACCAAATGCGGTCACGTTACTCGCGTTTGAAGCTCATTGCCACTTTTCCGTTCCGATTTTCTAGATTCTCACTGATCAGCGCGTTCCTCGAAAAGCCCAATTTGTACCATGAATATTGCGGCCATCGGTTGTCTATTTACGAGATTTTAAGAAAAATCGAAGATGGAGTTTTTTTTATTATTCAAATTTCACTGGAGTACACTTTTGCCACTATGAGAACTTTGAGGCAATATATAAAAATTTACATTTGCCCGACGACAGCAATAATTTATGTACCTAATGAATACACTATAATAACTTGAAACCGTATGAATTCATTCTTCATTAGACATGCATTTCGGGTAAAAATATCTTCCTTGAAACAAAAATATTTGTCTTTATATAGCATCTGCAATTTTCGGAAATGACAGGTGACGAAATTGGTGCCTCCGTGTTGGTGAAGTTTGATATTTTTTTTCTCGCAAGTTATGCCGTTAATCATAAAACGATGTTGACTTTCGGGCTACCTGGTGAGAGCTGCACGAAATATAAAATACTCAATGAAATCTAAAACATCAACTTTTGGGCCCATGTCGATCTCTCGTGGAATCACCCCGAGATATTTTTGCTTCAGTATCCACTGCAGCGTTGCGAGGACGAAAAGACTTTGCGAGCGATGGCTGCTTTACGAAAAGGCTGAAAGAAGTCATGAGTTTAGCATATGGTCGTGCTAATTATATCGAAGTAATCATACCTCAGTATTAGTAAATCAGATTAAAGAATCATACTTCGTGTCACCTTGCACGGTCGCTATATTCAGGTTGCTGACAACAATAGTGTGGAAGACGCCAGCTGCAAGACAAGTCTAAATAAAACACAGCAACAAAACAGTCTAGTATGCAAACATGCTCTTGCAGGCCGTCAAAAAGCTGCCATTCCGGAAGTAAGCGCTTGTTTGACACGCATGTGAACTGACCATGTAGTGTAGCTCCCGCGGCTCCGCACTGCTGCGACTGGCACCGGGTTCCGCGTAGATGTGTTCGTCACTCCGGCTGCGCCGCATGCACACCTCGTCATAGTCGCGGGCGACCACGGAGTCGTCGGCCGTCGAACGCCAGGCGCGCCACTTCATCTTGGTGTAGATGTCGTGAACGAACGTCCGCGGAGGCTTGAGCGGCGCAGCCGGCCGCAGCATTCTATCGTTCAGTGCATCGAATTGCTGCACCCGCTCGAGGACCGACGTTCGCTGGTCACAAACCACGCCTCCTGATTCACGTCCCGTCGTCTTCCCGTCCGGCTCGAACCTGGCGCGCAGCGTCTGGACCAGGGCGTGCGGCGTTGAGCGCTTCGCCCGATGAGGACGTCTTGGGACCGCCGGCTCACTCGTGTTTTTTCCGCGCTCCATCCGCTCAGTCACAGACGAAGCGTGTAAACGCATGTAAATTCACCATTAATTTCCGATACGCGTCTGCTACTACAAGGGGCTAGGAGCGACGTTCCGTGCGTGGTCACACAACACCTACATACTACCACAGAACACCTACATACTACCACAGTGATACTACCACCACAGAACACCTGCTACCACTTGAGAAGGGAAACTGCACATAACGCCAAGGCAAAGCCTCCTAAAAAAATTATGACTGAAACATGAGCCAGGAAAGCGCTGCTCTACCCTCTGATTTTACTGTCCTCCTTCGGTACGAACACAAGCGTCTTTGACGGCCGCCCCACTGAACACCGCTCAAGTGAGCTAGAATACTAGCTCACTTTAACACCGCCCCCTGCGAACACGGATGATGGATAGATGTGTGGATGTGGCTGTACCCTTTAGATGGATGGATGGATGGATGCTATGAGCGTCCCCTTTATAACGGGGTGGTGACAAGTATGCCACCAAGCTCAACAAAAAAAAAACAACCTTTTTTCCTTTTTTTTATGTTGGCCTAATGCCTCTACTTCGATAAATTCTATCTTAATGGAAAAAAGGTAAATTTTCAGCTTAAGTTCTCTGCCATTTACGGCACACTGCCCATATTTTATTTTTCCAATATTTATTTTTGTCCTTTCTCTCTAATTTTCTGCCACCAATACTCTAACCGTCTCTTACTTATTTCAATCGCGGGTGTGTTCAGCACACCCGCGATCGGGCGGCGGCAAGCGCCATCTAGCCGTAAAACTTAGTGAACTAACCATTAAATTTTTTTTTTTTTTCCTTTAAATGGTGAGCTAGAGGATTCGTGCTTTGCAGTGAGGGGTTTTATTTTCACTGGTGCCTTGACTTTAGCCACCAATTAGATCACCCCCTTCTAGTTAAGTCTACCCGCTTAAAGTCTATTTTGTCCTTCCTGTCCCTCAACCCCAGTGCTTTGAAAAACTCTGCGCCATCATTCTGAACTATAGGGTGAAGCCCTTTACAGAACATTATCAAGTGTTCAGTGGTTCCTTCTTCCTCTCCACATGCACTGCAAACTGTGTCTAACCCTTCGTATTTGGCCCGATATGTCTTGGTTCGCAATACTCCCATCCTGGCCTCAAACAGTAGAGAACTACCCCGAGTATTATCATAGATCCTTTCCTTGGCAATTTCCTGCTTAAAAGTTTGATAGATCTCTAGTGCGGACTTCTTAATCATGCCAATTCTCCACATGTCACTCCCCGTTTCCTTCACTTTCTTCTTAACCGATAGTTCTCTTTGGTTCGGCCATCTGCTGTTTTCTAAGTATTTACCAGTCAATTTCCTGGTTCGCTTCCTCCATTTTGTATCGACATTCTTCATGTACAAGTAGCTGAAAACCTTCCTAGCCCAACGCTCCTCCGTTATTTCTCTCAATCGCTTCTCAAATTTTATCTTGCTGCTAGCTTCCCTGCCCTCAAATGATGTCCATCCCATATCACCTTGTACTCCCTGATTTGGTGTATTCCCGTGAGCTCCTAAAGCAAACCTACCTATTCCACGTTGCTTAATTTTCTAATCTTGCTTGAACTTCTGATCTCGTGCACAATTAAGACCGCGTTGCCGAACGTCAGACAGGGAACCATGACCCCTTTCCATATTCCTCTCACAACATCACCTATTGTAATTCCACGGTGCCCTATTTTTCATGACCGCTGAATTCCTGTTACCTTTAGTAGTCACGTATGTTTCGTGTTCCCTTAGGTACTCGGTCCCCTTGCTTATCCATACACCCAGATATTTGTATTTATCTGTTATCTCTAGTGTGACCTCCTGTTTTCTAAGCTCACTACCTTCGTTATCATTAAAATCATGACTGCCGATTTTTCCTTACTGAATCTAAAATCTAACCTATCTCCCTCATTACCGCAGATGTCCATCAATCTCTGCAAATCTTCCTTGTTGACGGCCATCAGCCCATGCGTCGTGATAATATATTCAAGCCAGTTAGTGAGGGTGGGTTAGGACTAAAACACCTTTATCTATGGCATCTAGTGTCCCGATTCTTCTTTTTTCGAGACAATCCCCATCCTGTAATCCGTTCCTTCTTGCAGGTTACACTTGTTGATTGCTTACCAGATTTAATTGTTTCATCCAACTTTTCCGAACGCCCATGCTTGTGGGGATTCATGCAGGAGGTTTACCTCGCAGTTCAGTTCCTTAAAGCTCGCTTCTCTGTAGAATACCTGTACACAGTATCGCGCAAGGTGCTGTATAAGGACCTACTGAGTACACTCTTCCCACCTCCATTGTACCGTTCACTCTACGCCAATCTTCCAGGTCGCGATGTGTTGAAGCGAGTGCGCAAAATGTACATTCCACCGAATTCAAAAACATTCTTCTATAAACTCCACTCTGAAACATTGGCGGTAAACACATGGTTAGAAAGAAAAGGTATTTTCATTCCGTCTGTTAACTGCCGTCTATGTGATGTGCCGGAAACGATTGAACATTGCTTTGTTAGCTGCAAAGATGCCATACTGTTTTAGGATGTCCTTCAGCGAGCACTGAAAAAACGTTTCGTCATTAATTCTCACACAATACGTTATCTTCTGCCAGCAGCGCTTGATGAAGTACCATATGATATGTTTTTCCTCATGGGTATGCACAGCTTGTGGACGACACGAATGCAAGACCGCAATGTAGAGCCCACCACCTTCTCAAGCGCACACTTCATTCAAATGGCTATCCACCTGAAAAACATTTACGACGAGCTAGACTTTAGACCGGACTGGTACTCCGTCTTGGAGAACTGTTTGACCTCACCCCTTTTTTTGTTTGTATAACACAATGTGAAGAACTCTCCATGTGAAGAAGTCACGCTGTGTTAGGCATTTAGTGTTTATGAGTAACACTTGAACGCTTACTTTCACGATTTGATTGTACTTTTGTTCGCTTGATTTTGTCATGATTGCCCAAGTACTTTAATGAATACCATGGTAATAAAAAAAATAAAAAAAATTAGTACTATATCATCTGTGTACATTACTGCTGGTAGTGCCTGGTCAATGAGTTTTCCTTGTTTGACTAAACAGGGGTTGAAGCCAAGTCTACATCCCTCTAATTTGGCCTCTAATCCTTGTAGGTACATCATGAATAACAAGGGTGACATTGGACAACCCTGCCTGAGTTCCCATTTCACCTCTGTGGGCTTGGATACCTGTTTTTCCCACTTTATAACTACCTTGTTACTTTTAAAGATTTCCTTTAAAAGATTAGTGACTCCATCTTCCACACCCAGTGTGTCTAGTATTCAGCACAATTCCCCTTGAACCACGCTATCGTAGGCTCCCTTGATATCCAAAAATGCTAGCCACAGGGGCCTCAGTTCCTTTTCTGCAATTTCGATGCACTGCGTCAGTAAGAACAGATTGTCTTCCAACCTCCTGTGTTTCCAAAACCCATTCTGCAGTTCCCCCAGCACCCCCTCATCCTCTATCCATGCCTGCAGTCTTTCCTTTATAATCTGCATGGCCAGCCTGTAGACCACTGATGTCACTGTTATAGGACGGCAGTTGTTAATGTAATCTTTGTCCCCCTTTCCTTTATAGATCATGCTCATCCTGCTATGTTTCCATCTATCAGGGACTTCCCCATCGATTATTGCTCTGCTAACTTCCTCTCTCAAAGTCTGTTTAGACTTCGGACCAAACATCTTTATCAGCATAATTGGATTGCCATCTGGGCCTGTTGATGTACTACTTAGAACCCTCTGCTCAGCCCTTTCACACTCCCGTTGTGAAGATGGAGCCATTGTGCCACTTGATCTATCCCTGTCTATTGTGGTGCATAAGGCACTTCTTTGTTGAAATTTTTCTGTCACCCTTGTTCTTACATATTCAATAGCTTCATCCCCTTCTAGCCTAGCACCTTGAGCTGTAGTTAAAAACCTCCGCTATAGGTTTGTTTCATTTCTTAGAGAGTTTAGATGGTTCCAAAATATCGCAGCTGCCTTTGTGTCCTTTTTATGTACTTCTGCCAGCCACTGAGCACCCTTTCTTCTAATCTTTTCATTCATCAGGAGGGATGCTTCCCTTCTAGAGCTTAGAAAGATTTCTCATTTTCTTTAAACATCACCTGTCGGTTCACCCCATTGCTTAGCATGTCTGTGTTCCCTAGAGGCTTCCTGACGTTTTGCTATGGCTCTCTTAACTTCCTCATCCCACCAACTCTTGGGCTTGTGTCTTCTTTTCCGGGTTGACTTCTCACGTGCTTTAGCAAGCTCAGTCCAAACAGTCTAGTTAGATTTGTGTATGTCCACACAGTTTTATTATCTTCAGTGATTACTTTCTCACTTTGTTTAGTAGGAATTTCTATTTGCCTTTCTGAATGAAAATTTTCCTGTAGTTGCTCATCTTGTCTCCTTCCCACTTTCGCTGCTCTTCCAAAGCTTATCTTGATACGTTTGTGATCACGACCCAGACTTCTGGAGCCACCTTCGTCTAAGTGCATTCCCCTGAGCTTATCATACATCCTATGTGACAATAGTGCGTAATCTATCATTGACTGCAGCCTTGCTACCTCCATGTTATTTACCCTTCACACTTCTCGGTACTGTTGCAAATGATCAAATCATGCCTTTCACACATATCCATGATCATTTTGCCTCTTGAGTCAGTATACCCATCTATATCTTCTATATGCGCATTCATATCTCCTAGTATAATTATCTCGCACTCTCCTCCTAACTTCTGAATGTCATTTGATATACGCTCTACCATTGCCTGGTTTTTCTCTGTGGCCTTTGCTCCCGTCCACAAGCACACGAAACCAAGGAGTGTCAGTTGCCCTGCCACTTGCCCTTTTAGCCATAAATGTTCCTTGCATCCCTGACTCTTTGCCAACCCATGCTCTTATGTATAAATGCACCAATTCCACCCCCCTTTTTGCTGCCTTCTGTTCTATTGCAATATTCTCATACGTAGTCTGGATTGCAGGGTGGTTGCTCCAGGTCCCAAAGATGTGTCTCGACAACCCCGTATACCATCAGCTCCTCCTGCCTCAACTGCTCGTCTATCTCTTCCCACTTTAAGCTGTTCCTGCCACCCTGCATGTTAATTTAGCCTACGTCTGACTTAGCTCGGCCCTTGTGCTTACGTCAATTTCTTCTCCCACGGACTTGTGGCTTGAATATTTGTGCCCATTTAGGTCCGTCTTTGGCTACACTGTTGGCCTCAGGGCTTTGGGTCCCCCTCAAAAAGCTATGGCTTGGCGACCCATTCTGTTACCGACTCTCCTGTCCGTCGCACCGCATTAGTGAATGCCATCCTGTGCAAAGGGGTGAGCGCCGGGCTCGTACACGTCTTGGTTATCTTCCATTACG